AATACCGTTAAGTGTTGACCAGATTATACCATGGCATAAATCACGGGCGCCTTTTCTAGTCAGAGCACTATGGCAACAGTCATCCATACAACTGCACAAGGGGACAATGCTTTACACGTGCATAATCTACAAGGGGTTTAGGGTTTAGGGGTTTAGGGTTTAGGGGTTTAGGGTTTAGGGGTTTAGGGTTTAGGGGTTTAGGGTTTAGGGTTTTTGGTTTAGGGAACAAGTTGGAGGAGGATGAGTCAAGGGCTTTTTGCTAACCAACAGCACTGGGAGCCACCAACACGAAATGCAGCCCTGCGGCAAAGACCAGCCACTCTTGTCCACTGCGTCCACGGCAGCATGGCGGTGTGCTAGATGCCTGGTTCCCAACCCTAAACCCTAAACCCTAAACCCTAAACCGAAAGAGAGTCGGGGCTGGGGGCTCATGGCTTTAAAGCTTGTTCCTGAAGTCCCTAAACCCCAACACGTCGACGGACCTCCGTACCTCCTGGCATCTTGGAAGAGCTGCTTCTACAGCACAGAAGGTTCCCCAGCTCTTTCGGTCCCAAACGAACCCGAGGCTTCCCTGCGCTTTTGGTTTAGGGGTTGAGGCTCTAAGGGTCTCCTAGCCCCTCCCGTCCACGAACCCGAGAGCATAGCATCAAGACAGACCATCTCAGGGCGCAAGCTTCGGTGCCTCACAAGCTTCATGTCCTCCGTGCCCACGAAAGCCTGGGTAGAGGCCGAAACCGGTAGCAGCAAAACTTGTTCGGGTCTGTTGCTTTATGATCACTACAGAGACTGTAGTGGGACAGCACTGCTTTATAAGTTTATTCAGAGTGCCGGATTCATTGATTTTGCCGCTCAGGACTTCAACTGAAGCCCAGGCTGCCAATTGAGGGTTGCAGGGTTCGTAAGAAGAAGCACCCCTTTGACTCTGAAGCCCAAGCTCGAAACCCACATTAAAGCCAAAGGCACCAGCACCCAAAGCCCTGAAAGTTACAACCTGCTATAGAATCGAAAAGCCCCATTTTTGCAAAACCCTGACATTGGGAACTTCGGGTTCGTGGTTGAGATGAATCAAACAGGGAGGTCTGTGCTGGGGCCTGGGTTTGTGCCAGAAAAAATCATAACACACCTACCGAACGCCCACACTCAAGGACGTTTAGTTCTGGCATCACTTGTAGGGGTCTTATTTGAAGATGCCTTCACCTCCGCAGAAACATCGGAAGTGCTCCGTAGCAAGGGCAGATTTGCTTCGGGGGGGTCAAGACGGGGATCTTCTAGAGTGTCATAAGAAGAATCTCGCCACGCACGGGACATCTCACAAACTAGAGAGCTCCGGTCTCTAGATGCTTGAGCAAGGTTTTCTTCAAGAGCATCGTTTATCAAAGCTTTACCGGGTCTTTGCGCACGGATCCTTGAATTCCTCACATCCATTGCACACCCAAACGCCCAACAAGAACAGTCGCTCGCGAACTGCCCCAAGCTGCGCAATCCCAAGACCCCACAGGTTCTAAACCTGAGGCTACAATAAACCTCGTATAACTGTTTGTCTGCCTACAACTTACAATCAGCAACCCAAGGAATCATAGTGCTAGTTCGGTTCAGGCGTCTGGATTGCATGAAATGCAGGAGCCTTAATAATTAGAATTAGAATAGGGTTTTGCGCTGTGTTATACTAAACTTATAATGAGGAGCCCCAAAAATAGTATAGGTAATTTTTTAGGCCCCTATATTCATTCCAGCCTGCATGAGGACGGTCTTGCCATCTGCCGACCGACCTGGACTCCAAGGTTCTTGACTTTCACTGATGGCTCATCACCCTTGGGTTTAGGGTTTAGGGTTTAGGGTTTAGGGTTTAAGGGCCCTTAGAAATCAGAATAGAATTGAGGCCCCTATACTAGGTGCCCTCTGTTTGGTTGGGGGTTTGGAGATTCAGGAGTGGGGCTCGGGGTTAAGTCTCTAAGGTTTTGACTCTCGTTTAAGCGTTGGTGTTTCATTTGCCAAAGCCGGCTGAAATTAATCACTGCCTCGACATAGAATCAAGGACCCAGAAAACTAGATGCCAAAAGCCTGAAGCCCGCACCTTTCACATCCTTACGAGCCCTCGCCTAGATATCCCTAGACCCAACTCCATGAACATCTCGTTTGCTTAAGCCTTCTCATGTACAGGAGCATACAACCCCCACAGGGAAAGAAGCACTATGACCAGATTGTCTCGCTCAGAGGCGCATGGTAACTGTTGCAGCATACTTGCAGCCCTTTAGACGCAAGTGCATGTCCGCGTCTAAACCTATTCCTCACCTGACCTGTTCTACACGGGGGCACTCCAATCACTGTAACGCATTACCATTCCCTAAACCCTAAACCCTAAATCCTAAACCCTAAACCCTAAACCATTCCCTAGAGCTCACATACGAACCTTTTGGGAAAGAAACTTTCGAGGGCTCGCGTGCCGCCCAGGTGCTGTGGAGGGAGGCCTTCTCCTCTGCTCACTTGGGATGGAATAGTTTTAGGGTTTAGGGTTTAGGGTTTAGGTTTAGGGTTCAGGGTTTAGGTTTAGGATTTAGGGTTTAGGTAGAGCAGGTTGCTTTTATGATAGGAACCCTTAGGGCAGTAGGGGGAGGGGGAAGGGTCCCCATAGTTCTTCAAGTTGGGGGGGGGTTCCTTTGCAGGGAACTTAATACTCGGAGCGGTATTGTGTTCATCCAGACTTTGAGGGATTGAAATCTCAGGGTCCCGAAGCCCAAATGCAGCTCAAGGCCCTTGGTAGCTCATGATTTGTGTAGCTCTCTAAATCAAGACCTCTTTTAAGGTCCCGTTTAGAAGAGTGCCGTACTGTATGTTACCTAAAACAGGGACCCTAATTTAGAGAACTACCCACTTGATGGCTCAGGGTTACTTGGGCTTTCAGCTGGGGGCCTAAACCCTAAACCCCTAAACCCTAAACCCTAAACCCCTAAACCCTAAACCCTAAACCCCTAAACCCTAAACCCTAAACCCTAAACCCTAAACCCTAAACCCGAATGAGGCAAACGGGTGTCTATGACCCGAATTCAGCTTTAAGGCTCTCTTCCGGGGGCGTGGTTTGCAGCTTCGGTGACTTATGAACTTAGTCGAGTGATACTTATGGGTTTAGGGTTTAGGGTTTAGGGTTTAGGTTTAGGGTTTAGGGTTTAGCGTTTAGGGTTTAGGTTTAGCGTTTAGGGTTTAGGTTTAGGTTTAGGGTTTAGGGTTTAGGGTTCATGGTTTACAGCAGGCAGGTGGTGTCATCGATTCGAGAGCCGAAGGCTGTTGCAACACGCTCGGGACCATGGAACTGTCTATAATCACAGACATGTAACGCTCCCCCCCTTTACGCTCCCCCTTTTCTCTAACATGCATGAGATGCGCTCTGTGCGGGGATTCGGGGCTGGGAAGGGGTGCGGGATAGGGAAGGACGGGACGCAGGTTAAGGACGCAGATGGGTGTGGGGGTTGGGGGTGCGGGGTCCGAGGATGAAGGTTGGGGGGGGTGGGGGACAGGGCAGGCAGGGGGCAGAGCGGTTTAGAGTGTTTTAGAGCGGTTTAGAGCGTTTTAGAGAAAGGGGGGCGCGTGTCGTATCCCTGTGAGGGGTTCACAATTTGGGACGCTACCCCCTTTCTCTAAGGCCACACACGGGTTCCCCACCCAAGCCCAACCCCCCCGGCACGGAGCTTCGTTTTG